TGACCTTTCCGAGAAATATGACCTGTTTTTTTCGAAAACATTCTACAATAGTTGGATCCCTTCGGAAGCGCTCGAGATCTTTCTTTGCTATATAAGCAAACGAATTGCGTTTCAAGACAGTTCTAATTTCGACGCCGTAGTAATAAACGGTTCGCGCTGTTATAAATTGTGTTTTCGTGAGTGACAAATAATGTTACTGTTATAAATTCATTGTTAATTATTTGGAAATAAATAAACGACATAATTAAATTTACGTGTCACTATTTTTACTTTAATTGATAGATGTCCGATCGTAAAACTTCACGATCCGAGTTCAAAATTAGGGGGTTTCATTCAAAAGTTGGAATCCTCATCCTCATCCTCAAGGTAACCGATTAGCGGATTAGAGTTCTTAGAAGACAAATGGAAAAGTGCGAACGATCCAAACCACAATTTTTCAATTTTTTAAGAAATTAACACTTTCTGAAGGGAAACCAATAGCTCCAGATTATCTATGATTTTTAAGTTCATAGCTTCCTACTTTTAAGACCTTAGTAAAATGTGAATCTATAGGCGCTCGGAGGACCATTTATCGCTCTCGTGAAGTTGGCCGCGAACAATTTTCGGCTTGAAAATGAACCAATGTATCCGGTTCTGATTTCAAAGTACTACAATGTGACAAAACTTGCTTCCATTGTACCTACCTCTGCCTTTTTCGGAAAATTTGATTCAAAAAAATCACCGCCAACTTCACACGAGCACAGGAAACATTTTGAATAAATTGTAAACCTATGAATGTGCCGTGTGTCCTATTTTAGTTGAGACTGTACAAAGAGAATCAATGTAGTGGCTACGTTTGCTTCTAAGATACAGGGTGAAAACGAAAGTTTAACTTTTTGGGGTGTAAAGGTAAAGGATGTAAGGTAAAAATTGCCTATTTCAGATATTTTACGTAGAATCCAGTGGCGTAGTAAAAAAAATTGGTGTACCTCCTTTTCTGAGATCCAAAGGGCAAAGTTAGTATTTTTTTAAATGCACACACAACATTGATTCATAGCGGCTGTCTTAGTTACCATGAATACAATAAACAAAGCAAAATCTCCATGAATCCATGACTACAATTTAAAAAAATATAGGTTGCAATACATCAATATAATCAGAAAAAAGAATGCAAAAAATTGACGTTAAGCTGCAGAGTCTCGTGCAGAGTGTTGCATTTGAAAAATAGCAACTTTAGGTCAAAACTCAGAAAAAGGGGGTGCACACATTTTTTTTTACTACGCCGCTGTATTTTACGTAAAAATATCTAAAATAGGCGGTTTTTACTTTTTTTTTAATTGCTCCAAGTGCTGTGTGGCGGTATTTCAAGAAAAATAAAATTTGCAATGCAAAAATTATGCACGTTTTGTAACAACAAAAAAGGAAAACACAACTTCCCTAAATTGCGAGTTAAATTGAGAACCAATGACACACATTGTTTCAATGTCCACATCTCAAACTCAACAAGGGGTACCGCAAGGGTCCATCATAGGACCAGTATTATTTATACTGTAAGAAATAATATTGGAGATTTACCGGCCAACACTAACTTTACTATGTGTACTGATGATTTTTCCATGAAAATGACAACTTCAGCTCAGAATCAAAATACACTGAATAGTGTTACTCGGTGGTACGACCACAATAACCTTGTAAACATGTCAAAAACAGCATCAATGACCTTCACAATCGTATGATAATACACATCGTTTCGGGATTTAAATATTTTCGGGTTTCCGTGAGGTTAACCGTTTCTTTAGAACCGGATTTTCGGAAAAGGTTAAGAATGCAATGGAACCTAGTGCTCGAGGGGGTAACATTTTCTCAAATTTTGTGACAGTATTGCGACAATCCCCATGATTTCCCTACGATTGCGACCACAATCCGGCGATTGCGATGCGATTGTCGGATTTTAGAGGATTGCATTGTGATTGCATGTGATTATGAATGACTGCAGACGATTGTGGGTGACTGACAAAGATTTCTGGTAGCTGCTCAAGTTGCTATACACTCAAATCATACACACCGAAAGACAAACTAAGTGCCATGTGCTCTTTTTGGGCCAATGTTAAAAAATGGCACAATCAAAATTTGAAAACATTCGCTCGCTTACAGAGATACAAGGGAAAATCAAAAATTGTCAATATCAGAATGAAAAGAGACACGAAAAGATGTTTATTACAAAATTACTTGCTGGTTAATCGGTCGTTTTCAAAATAGGTTACATATACGATGTCCGCAAAAAAGTTACTGGACTTAACCTCATTTTTTAAATAGAACACCCTGTATGTTTTAATCTAAAAAGATAGCGTATTAACATTTCCTTTTTTAATATATAACGCAATCGCAATAGATAGGGAAAACAAAAAATTCAAAATTATTAAAAAAGAATTAAAACATTTAAGAAAGGTTCAAATATTAAAAAACAACAAAAAAATTAAACATTTTGAAATTTTTTGAAAAATCTAATATCGCACTTTTTAAATTTCTTTAGTGTTATATTTCTAGAAAGTGAATTCCAGAGCATTCCACTTAAAAATAATGACGTTAGGTCTCCGGTTAGGTTCTATAACTTTTTTACCTGATCCCGTACACTTATTTTAAAACGGCACATTATTCAACAGTCTTATAAAGAAACTTGTAAGAAAAATCTTTCTATGTCTATGGTTCATTCTGAGATTTATAATTTTTTGAATTTCCTACGTCCATTTTTAAATTGAAATATTTTAATCAAACACTAACATATTAAGAACCTCTTTTCCAAAATATAACATTACAAAAATTCCATATTGATTTCAATAGATTCAAAAGATTTAAAAAACCGAAAGATTCAAAATTTTTTTGAAATTTTGTTGTATTTATCAAATCGTTTGACCTTTTTTTAAATCTTTTTTGAGCCCTTTTTGAATCATGTTTAGCGTATTATATTTTTTAAAAGTTAATATGCTATATTTGTAGATTATCAAGCGGCAGAGGAAAGCGATGTAAGCTTTATAAGGAAGTTGACGGTGTCCGTCTGTCCGTCCGTGAACACCATAACTGCCAAACGCCAAACTTTGCACAGTTAACATACCTATATATACCACTTGTAACAAGGCAATTGAAAATGAGTCAAATCCAATGATGCGTAGGGTTACTCCGAGGAGCTGTGCCGCTTTTTTGGATCCGCTTTAGGGCTTTATTAAGTAGTACAGGGCTTTCCATTTAAAAAAATAAAGTTAGGTGCAATAACTTTTTTGCCTAACCCCGCGTGGCGTGTGATTGTACCTAAAAACAGGTGAGGGCGTGCACGATTGCCAATGTGTAAAGTCACTAGATATAGAAAGTACCGCAATCATCCGCCATTTTTGGGCAAATTTGCTGCCAACTTAAAAAAATTGACAAATAAAATCTGAATAGCTGTCATTTTTTATAACCTAACTTCATAGTACTGTCATGTTTTATAAAAATATATACAGATATCTCCAAACAGGTGGAACAATCCCTAACATTAAAGTTACTAGAATCTGGTAACTTCCGCCATTTTTGGGCAAAAATCATGCGTTCTCTCTCTAACACACGAGCCCAATGGATTGCGGTACTTTCTATATTTAGTGACTTTACCAATGTGATTGTCAGATTGTCACAACGATTGCGGGATTGCTTTAGGCGATTGTGAGATTGCAAACGCGATTGTGGGACTGTGAGGGAGATTTCCACAGCAATCAGAGGGATTGCAAGCGATTGCAGACAATTTGTGACAGTATTGCGGGAAGATGTTACCCCCTCGCTAGTGCTGGTACATCAGAGTTATATTCAAAATCTTTCCGCTCGCCTGAAATTGGTCGTGATTTTTCGAAAACGACCAGGTACAATGGAAACAAGTTTTGGTACATTGAATTCAGAACCCGAACCAAATCATTTTCAATTTTTTTCGCGACCAACTTCATGGTAGGCTGTTTCTCGAGAATTTAAAAGGGCATAGGGGCGCCAGGGGAGAATGCCGGTCACAGAACACTTGATGCCGGTATGGTTTAATATGAAAAACATACGACTGTACTTTGTAGACCGGAATCAGGTGTTCTGTGACCGGCATTCTCTCCTGGCGAGCATAATATATTCAATTCTGTGAACTTCGGTTATTGCTGGTATTACTTACAAATGTCTGAATTCAGGCTCACTTTTAATCTGCTTTTCGTTATTGAGGGAAATTTTAACATATAAATTACCAAAATTCGACTTAATTCAGATATCTTTATTTTGCAATCATTCAAAATATAAATAATAACAAAGCTCACGTGAAACAATAAAATAATACTTGTTTCGACGACCAATGACCGGCTTTCACTTCCTAGACGGCATATTACTGATACCAACCCTATTTTTACCTGGGAAAAATACATCAAACCGATGTTAACAAATAATGTCAATCGAGAGCCTCGAAAAAATCTCGCTCTCAAGTCAATGAAGCCTGTCAAGAGCAGGTGATTTTTGGAAAAATACCAAGGCGAAAATAGCGGCCGAATTATCTTTGGACACGCACAGAACCCTCGGTATTATTTAGGAAGTCCCAACAGTAATCTTCACTAGTCTCGGGAAGGTTACGCCTAATTAACTAGTAGAAATAAAAACGCAATTAACTAATTAAGTAGATTTCGAATATCTTTTACCCCGCCGCGTTATCATCGGAACATCTGCGCGGAAATTTCCTCTGGTTTAATAGAACGGCATTGTTACCGTTACACAGACAATAATAATTGCTTTGTATGCAATTTCAATATCCTTCATTGGGTATTCCGAAGAAGGTGATTGACTTTCTTAATTGTGCAAAAGTGCGAACTGATATCAGTAGGTACACGTGCGTTTTCGGGTGGGGGAGTCGGGCCGCTTCTCGCGAGATAAAGAATTAATTCACCAGCAGCACTGACCTCGCTGCGAACACCTGATAGTTTAAAGTTTCGCCGGGAATTACGAATTTTGTTAATTAATAGTGCCGCGCTTACCTTGATCCATCCTCCTTCTTCGGTGACTAAACAATACAAAAGGTAAAGATCAATCTCGTGTCCATTTATGGTAGGAGCCCTTCGGAACGGCGTCCTGGAACAATAAAAAAAGACCGACGTGAAGGTGTGTACTGAAGGTGACGAAGTGGGGAAGGGCGGGGTGTGTGTGTAGTCTTACCCTCGAGTCTCGTGGAAGTGCTGCAGGTCTCTGAGGAACCCGTCCCGCTCTTTCGCGTATAAAATGGGATCGGTATCAAGAATTTTGGCCATAGTAGCGCAAAACCCTTGTTTACGGTGGTACAACACGTGTCACTGAGAAACATCGATGCTTGTCAACATGACCGATAGCGGCCACGACCCGGAGGTGATCGCCGGACATACATCCGCGGTCCTGGAGTTGTTTTGATCGCTTCCCGCACCAGGGATGCACACTCCTTGCAATCACTGGCCAGGCAGTTGACGACTCCCTGTGCTACAACGACGTTGCACTCACTCTTACCGTAATATGCGCAGAACCGACGTACTCGTCGCGAAAGTCGCACGTCTGTTTATAAACAACACCTCAACTTGAACGAAATCGTCGAAAAATGCGCTATCACTAATCACTTCACGCCGATTTACACAAAAAACTCTACCTAACGAACTTGTATTAACCCATGATGCTTGACAAGACCTATTACAACATGGCTGCCGGGTTCTCCTTATTACCAGGCGCCAAAGGTTTACTTTTATTACCTATGTAAAACACGAATTTACGCGGACAGCCCGATTTAACACATCACTTTTTATTCCCGACGATATCCCACAAATTTCGCTTAACTTTGCGCAATTATCAAGTTACGGGATCAATAATAAAAATACATTATTCGTTTTGACAACACACAGTAACAGTTCAAATATCGCAACGCACCAGCGCCATCTTACCAATCACCCGCATCTACCTTTCCTTTGTGGTTCATATACCGGCTGGTGGTCGCCGTATAAAATACTAACTTTCGCACGATTTCCTGGTAAAATCCAAATGGTTTCGAGACGTACAAACGCTCACGGTGGTAAAACGCACATTTCCAAACGATGGAAGACCAAGCGCCGCACGAAGGATCTAGATCAGGTACCTAACCTCAAAAACCACGTTTCGCTTATGTAACTGCGTTGCAGATTGACGAGGACATCAAACCCGAGAACGTGGAGAAACTCCTCGACCAGGAGGTAGACTTCGACCGTCCCGGTAACGCGCAATTCTACTGCCTGCACTGCGCCCGCTACTTCATCACCGATCGAGCGCTGCAGGACCATTTCCGTACGAAAGTCCACAAGAGACGACTGAAAGCGCTCGAGTTAGAGCCGTACACCATCGCCGAGTCGGAGCGCGCCGCCGGCTTCGGTAACTTCGAATTCGCCCAGAAGCGCAAGATCGAGACGCAACCGACCAAGGAGGAGTTCGCCGAGAGCAAGCGAATGAAGGTCGATCCGGAGGAGCAATGACACGTTATCTTCAAATCGTAACCCGTAGATTATCATCAGCCTTGTATGTGACCGCCGATAAAGCGCAGGTGTTAATTTTTTTATTACGTTAATTACTAAAACTTCCTTACGATAGTATAACAACTTTTTGTGATTAACTTTTTAACTTGCAGATTTAGTGTGTGGTTTTCTGTCTTGTTACTTTAGAACTCCAATCGGGACCCACTTGATCATTGTAGGTTGAAGTCCTACTAAAAAATCTCATTGTTAACCATCTTTTGTTCGATTGAAATTATTCAAGGCCACTGTTTCGGGAGTATTTGTAGGATCTATAATGCAATAGTAACATGGGATAGATATGTCAATTGTTATCCTTGTATATACTGTGTGTTCCTATTAAAACGACTACCTATAAGGTCAGTTAAATTGACAATTATGAAGCATTTTGTTCAGAGGTTCACAAAAACAATTGAACATTGCAATATCAAGATTTATTTAGTTTTTTAGGGGGTCAATAGTGTCCGTGAACACGATAACTGCCAAATACTTGGGCCGATATGGTCCAAACTTTGCACAATTGACCACATGTAACAAGCCTGTTGAAAATGGGTCATTCTATGACCCTGTAGGTTCACACTGAGGTCCATTTTTCAAATGCTACTATGGGGATCTGCCTTATCTTAAAAGATAGAAAATTGGTTTAATCGGGGCAAAGTGGCGAATTACCTTACTGAATAATCATCTGTAAAGAAATTTAAAATGTTTCCAATAGTTTTGAAAATAATATGGCATTCCGTTTTTAATAACTTTCAATATGACGTTGAAACAAATTGCAACTTTATTTCACCTTATGGACACCATTTTGAGATTACATCTTTTTTCTATTTATAATGATATATCACACATTCAGTATCACATTTTTCCTAAAAATACAATTTTTCATTTTTTGGAAAGAGTGCTTTGGAAAAACAAAACGTTCTTTTGTTTGACAGTTTCATCCATCTGCATGGAACTAGTTGTATTGAGAAAATTCGATTTTCATCTGAACGGAATTGAACCTTCCTTTTGCAAAAAAATTATAATACAAATTAGAACAAAATACATACAAATAAATAATATTTAACCAATGTAACATCACAACATGTGTTAAAATTGCCCACCCCCTAATTCTGAGCACAGTGCCATTATCTTCTAAAGATTTGCTATGAGCCTATGACTCCCCCACAAAAAATTGTCAAAGAAAGACAGGTCAGGTGACCGCCGTAATAGCAATAACAATGGTTGGGGAACATTTTCGACAATCATTCCCCAATCTTCCTAGCATTATATTATGGGGCGGTTCGCCATCTCACTGGAACCATATTAAATTCAAACAATGAAGAGGAATGTTATTGTCGTCAGGAAACAGAGGTACCATCCAGCATTTAATGTCTCTTTGTAGAGGTGCATTCCGATAACATCTGTCATTCTTATTAAAGATGGGATGTGGAGCACGAAATAAAATGAAGTTCAGAATAGAATATAGTTTTCCTGGAAATGACGGGAGAACCTAACCTTGCTATTTTTGGCGTTTAAATTAAATATCAGAAATTTTCGAGGAAATATAATGGTTTCTATGGCTTCTGCTATAAGAGAAAGCATCGTATTATAGACAACGATCTTTCATTCGCTGGTTAAAACATCCCTTTATTGTCTTTTATGATAAATGTCTATTATGACATTAGGGTGAATTTACATGCATTTGTTATCCACTGATTTACCAATCAAATCTAATGTGCCAGTTATGACAGATCATTTTTAACGCTGTGCTTCTTGCAGGATCACTTTGTGCTACTCACCCCGTACATCAATTTCGATGAACAATTGGAGAACAAGCCGAAATTGGAACGCAGCATCAAGCTGAGAGGCATTAATGTCGACTTGGAGAGAATCGAGAGGCGTTGGCTGTTCTTTCGATACCTGGACGAGCAAAGGCTTACCTTGGAGCTGACCAAAGGCGAAATCGGCAAAGAAATCGCAGATCTGCTCAAAAGGGGGGACAATGTCGAAAATCTGAAATTGCAGGCGAAGCTCATAAAGGACGACCTGAAGATGCTAAAGAACTACTTGTACGGCGTCGAAGAATCTGCAGCGCTCGCCGTTCTATCGTTACCAAACAGTTTGCATCCGAACACCCCAGATGACACCGAACGCCTACTCTTCGAGTATTTGCCCACGTCTCAGCGATCCTCGCGAAGTCACATGGAAATTGGTGGCAGCTTAATCAAGTTTATTAATCCGTACTTGTACTATTTGCGTGGTGACGCTGCACTATTCGAATATTTGCTAACGAGCTATATGTCGAGCACCCTCGCATCCTTCACGAGGATTTCAAACTCCGACTTTTGTCGGAGCGTAATAGTCGAAGGTTGTGCAACCGATTTTCGAGATAAAAGCGTATTCACCCTCGAAAAGTGTACAGGTGACGTCGAATTTACGCGAACTCACTTAGTAGGCGGCGCCAGTTTGTACGCGTTCATGACTTATTTCACCAAGCACCTCGTCACGGAAAAAAGGCTACCTCTAAGATTGTTCACTACGGCTCGATCGTATAACCCCAACACGGTTCGTGACGACGGCTTATTCAGTGTGAATCAAGAAACGAGCCTCGAATTTTTCTTGGCTTTGAAGGATGATGAGCAAGAAATGGAAGAGGAGTTCAACAAAGTTGTTTCGTTGCTCATTACGTCGTACAAGGCGTTGGGCTACCATTTTCGTTTGGTCTACATTCCAGCACAAAAGTTAAAAAATCATGAATGTTTACGTGTTTCGATTGAGATGTTTTCTAGTTTTACACAGACATATAAAGAAGTCGGTCATTGTTCGATTATTGATAGTTTTTTAAGTAAAAGGCTGTTGTTCACGTATGATATAAATAAGGAGAGGAAGTTTGTAAGAATTATTTCTGGTACTTTATTAAAGGTGCCGCCGTTATTGGCTTGTGTGTTAGAAAATAACGGTCGGACCGATAATTTGTTAACTGATTTTTTACGAAAATACGTTTAATAAAATAAAAGTAAAAAAGCAATTTATAATTCTGAAAAGAAAAAAAATTATGCTACACCAAAGGCTGATTTGTGGTGTCTCAACTGTGCTTAGTTGACTAAGGCTAATAAAACAAAAAAAATGCCATCAGGTTTACCAAGAAAAAGTGAGCAATTTATTTCTAATCTTATTCATTATTTTCAATCGGAAAGAGAAAATGGTGGTCCACTTTTAGCAGTCGCAGCAGGGAGAGGTGAGTGGTTACTTCAGTAATATCTATAAGAGTAGTCGGCACAACAAAATACATTAATAAATAAAAAAGTTGATATTGCGCATGCGCACATTAATTATCAAGATTTTTCTTGATTCAGGTGCCAGAACTATAAGCTACCGAATTCAAAATGAACGAATTAAATATTAAAATCTGTAGGAGTAGTTAAGGCCTTGCACGGACAAAGAAAGTTGGAAAATGTGCTAAAAACAGAAGGGGTCCAAGATTTAACCCTTGGCGGATTGCAGAGGTGGAAAACGTTGACAACATCGTGCAGTTGTGCTTGGCTACTAGAAATTATATTTTCTGGAAACTTTAGTGGCTAAAACTGAGTAGTATTCAAATAAAATACTCCCAATAAATCTGGTTTCCTCACGTAGCCCTCTCCCATTACCGCAACAACGCCGCTACAATTTCGTCTGAGCCAACTGTTACATTTCCTCCCTTCAAAGACGCGATTATTAATAGATTCTATAAAGTATCCATAACTCTTCTCGTGGCTGCAAAACACTGAAAGCAAACAGTTAGCTCAAAAAAATCAAATTGAAACTCTACCAATGTCATGTAAGCTGCGGAGTTCCGTCCGCAAGTCTGACGGCGAACACCCCGGTTGATGGCGTACCCCACCATTCGGGTAAAAGTCGACGGTACCCAATGGATTCTTACACCCGAACATACCCCCATCCGTGTGTATTACATCAACAATTTCGGCATCGGTCCGCGTCAAACCCCGCAACAATCGCGGCGATTCGAATAGCGGACCCGCCGGATCCAATCCGGTAATTCGACCAACCCTGCTGTTTCCTAACGATTTAAAAACCCTTCGCCCCGCATGCCCGGCAACGTGCGCCCCCAGAGAGTGACCGATTAAATGTACCTTCACTGAGTTTTGCCGCAAATTCGCTACCAGTTCGCCGAGGTTTGCTCCTTGAATATTGCGTGAACGCATTTCGCTGCGGTAAACACTTACCAACGATCGCGGTATTGCGAGCGGCTGTGAAATAGCTGCCCGATGCAAGACTCGCCCAGTCGACTTGCACGATATTAAAGTCCCCTCTCTTCAGGTACTCATTGGTCATCTGCCGGTACCACTGCCTTTTTGAACTCTGCCTATACCCGTGTATGATGATTTTGGTTAACTTTGAGGAGTTGAAGTTGGATGGTGGTTCTTTGTCAAATTGCTGGGGTGTGGTTTGTCTGGTGTGGAGATAGTAGCTTGTTTCGGAAGTTTGCACGGCTAAGAATTAAGAAATGAATTTGAACTGTTGAAATTTAAAAACTTTTGCGTACAAACCCATGATTAAGGAGACGAAAAGTATTTCAAACATACTCGGTACCAATTTTGTTACCTACTACATGCAAATATAAAAATTTTGCACTATGGGATTATTAAATTATTGATTCGTATATATTTCAAGGTTTACTATAATGACAGAAAAGTACCTTTTATAATTTAATACAAATGGCACGTTTCTAATCATTATATGCATGCATAACAAGCAATTTTGGATATAATTCTTTACGTGTAGGACAAATATTACCCCCCCCCTCCGTACCGCAAAAGAATTTTTCAAAATTAAAGAAACAACAGTTTCATGTTAAACATGGGGACAAGTGCCCATCACTGATTTTTAGTTATTTAGGGAATTTTATACAACGCCTTAATTTTTTCTTCCGTTGTAAATTATGTACTGGTACCGGAACGTAGAAGGCTGCAGGGGGCCATGCCTCTATGCGCAGATGACTAATGGCCGTTTGCACCGACAAATTTAAGCGGAGTTTAGTTTAAGCGTAGCTTAAAATCCATGGCAACCATTGTCTCAATAATCGTTGCCATGGATTTTAAGCTACACTTAAGCTAAGCTCCGCTTAAATTTGTCGGTGCAAACGGCCATAAGTTAGAAACTGCAGGAGGAGTCAACTGACTTTGTGACCCATTAATTGGTGTAATCAATAGAATATGAATTTTGGGGATGCGTGATCTTTCGCCTTCTTACGTGCCGAGTACAGCATCTACCATTTAAAAAATCGAATTTTCGTGCTTGATATCTGGATAATACAGGGTGTTTTTTTTGGAGATTTAGTTTAACGTTTCTGGGAAAGTAAAATACGTAGGTTTTTGAAAATTTGTACTTAGGAAGGCCGAATCTATGTAAAATATTTTCAAAATGTCCGCACTTCCGGAAACACCGGAAGTAGATAGTAATTCCGTTATTTTAATTGGCAACCCCTGTTTTTTATTACATTTTTGGATTCTACGTGAAATTTCAGTTCTTTTGATACCCATATATGTCGATATCTGCCATTTATGGTTTTTAAGTTATTTTGACTTTAAGAAAAAAAATGGTGGATGCAGATGGTACCTTGATAATTGATTACTTGAAAAAGGTTGTAGTCATGGCAACCCATTTTTATCAGTGCATAGAGAATGAATAGGGCGTTCTTTTAGTGTACTTAAAAAAAAGCTAAGTTGCGTACAACCGCACTTATGGAGATCCAAGTTTAAGAAACTTCAAAGTCTATAAACTCAGTTTTTTTAAATGGAATGACCATGTTCTTAATATTGCATGAGATAGAGAATCGAAATTGGCATATTTTGATATTACATGTTCCTATAGCTATCTTTAACAGTTTCTGATTTATTCCCATTTCATTGAATTGATCTCGGAATTGATGCCATTTTTTTTCGCATTTTCTTTGTAGTAGTTGGCCATGATTTTATAACAATCGAATTTTAAACAAATCAAGGAATGGATTCTTTAATACCATTGATTCTAGTTCTAGTCTAATTAATTCATTAATAAAGAACTCATTTATTAAGGATATAAGACGGAAAATTTTTGAAAAATCTAAACCGAGTCGTTCAACTGAATTTCTTAAACAACGTAAAAGTCTGGAAATTAAGAGAGGTAATGCGATATCTGTTCTAGCAACAATTCCATACCAAAAATGTTTCAACGAAGTTTTTTATATTTTGCATTGAATTTATTTTGTTAATCTAGCACTTGCAATTCAATTCATTTTCTTAAATATTCTCTTGTAGAGCTTTGTATCACTTGTGCTTCAAGGGTTTGTAGTGCATTAGTTCCAGTTTTCGAATGAATGTACGGAAAGCACGCGCCGCGATTCTGCCCATTTCACCATAAATAACAATTAAATTCCAAAATAGGTGAAACCACTGCGAGTCGTTTTTCGATTTTTGAAAAACTTATGTTAACCTATAACAGTCAGTGGGTGATGGATTAGGGTCACTAGATTTGTTTAAAATTCAATTGTTATAGAATCATGGCCGACTACTAAAAAGAAAATCCGAAAAAAATAGTGTCAATTCAATAAAATGGGAATAAGTCAGAAACTGTTAAAGATAGCTATAGGAACATGTATTGTCAAAATATGCCCATTTCGATTCTCAATCTCATGGAATAGTAAGAACATGGTCATTCCATTTAAAAAAACTGAGTTTTTAGTCTTTGAAGTTTTATAAAATTGGATATCCATAGGGGCGGCGGTCGTACGCAACTTAACTTTTTTTTCAGTGCACTAAAAGAAAGCCCTATTCATTCTCTATGCACTGATAAAAATAGGTTGCCATGACTACAACCGTTTTCAAGTAGGTAATCAATTATCAAGGTACCATCTGCATCCGCCATTTTGTTTCTTAAAGTCAAAATAACTTAAAAACCATAAATGGTAGATATCGACATATGGATATCAAAAGAAGTGAAATTTCACGTAGAATCCAAAAATGCAATAAAAAATAGGGGTTGCCATTTAAAATAACGAAGTTACTATCTACTTCCGGTGTTTCCGGAAGTGCGGCCATTTTGAAAATATTTTACATCGATTCGGCCTTCAGAGTAACTCCTAAGTACAAATTTTCAAAAACCTACCTATTTTACTTTCCCAGAAACTTTTAACCTAAGCTCCCAAAAAAACACCCTGTACAGAAAAGTTTAACGATGTTATTGAAACGGTGGTACGAATCTAGCTTTGCAAAGGAGCTATTTTTTGAAAAAATTCTTTTTATCCCCTTCATTTTCATCCCCTCACGTTATAACTACAGTTCCTAAAATTCTAAATAGCATTAAAATAGTGCAGAGTAGAATAATAATAATACATATACCTATTCAGGCTAACATACATGGAGTACCTACTTACACATCGTCAAAAATGTCACAGTCACTTATCTAAAGAAATATTTAGAAGTATCACAGGTAAAATCAAAAGTTAAACATTCTTCATAGCTATAAAAACATTGACTACTTAAAAATGTTTTTATTTTATTCTTAAATTCTATGAGGTCTATAAATATGTCTTAGGTGCTGAACTACAACCCTTATAGGGTATTAACCAGAGAAAAAATAATCCTAGTCACATTTTGCTTCATACAGGGCCGATTTTGAAGGAACCTATAAATAAATAAATAAATAAATAAATATATATTTATTGCTCAACAGCAAAGCCAGTTACAGAGCAACATCACAATTAATCTCACCTAGTTCTTTCGTTCATTTTAATTTACTTCTTTAATTTCGCTCACCCCCATTCAATGAATCCATCGATACCTGTCTGTCTCTATGTCGCACACTTCGTCTATTATTGTAATTTACGTATTCATTAGACCATTACATTTTACATTGCATCAGATACAGCTATTACAGATTATACGACCATACTTATGTAAGAAACTATGTAATTACGACCATGAAGCAACAGCACTTTTCGCGCAAATCTTGCACCGTTAATATAAGGTACATAATAGGTACCTACATGTTATGCCTACAATTTTTTTTAATTAAAAATATTCACAAATTTTGGGACGTTATTTCGAAAAATTTGCTAGTGTTTTGTTGCTTCTACCGTAAATAAACAGAAGAGTTTTGAGATAAATGAAACATGTTGGTCAGTCATAACGTTCTAATTTTCAGCAAAACTCTCGCAAAAGAGAGTGGTCGAGGGTAAGTATATTAAAATGTTAAAAACTGAATCCTGGCCTTCAAGAATTCATCACCATGTTTATTAAATTAGCGGGTCTTTGTAAATAAGCCTGTTATTCGTGTGAATAACAAGATATAATAGATCGTACCTTGATCTGTGTGTGTCTACATTTTACTAATTAGAAATGGTCACCCTAAATTATAATAGACTATTACTGTCTGCGAAGTAAATTAAATTAATTTGATAGAGATTAGGTCAGTGTCGCCTTGTACCATAATTTTAAATATGCGAATAGGTATTTACCTACTGATTATGTGAGTATTTAGTTGCTACTAAAAGCAAGTAAAGAAACGCAACATGTTCCTTGTGCTTCTTGTACTACCAGCGCTAGGCGAGTATAAATCTGCATTTCGCTGTAAGTAATAAGATTTAATTGCAGTAACGGGACAAGTAAAGTACTACTTGTACACCAGGAACAATCCGTCATCGCCACAACTATTACAAAACCTTGACGGTAGCAAAGGGACAAAGTTTCTAATCCACGGATTCCTTCAGACTGCAAAGGACGTGTGGTATGACCAAATGAAGGATGAGTACTTGAAAAAGGGCGACTTTAACTTCATTCAAGTGGATTGGGGCTCGATTGCTTTCGGAAGTTATCTGCTAATAGCAAAAAATACGCAAAACATCGGTAAATTGGTGGGTTACCAACCAACAAAAATAGCACATTACGGTTCCAGGGCGAGAACTTGGAGACGTAATAGTGGAGAACAACTTGCCCCTGTCCAACGTGCACATAATTGGGCACTCCCTTGGCTCGCACATAGCGGCCTATGCCAGCCGGAGAATCTCGCAGTTGCTAAATGCAACCGTAAAGAGGATCAGTGCACTTGACCCAGCGGGCCCGCTATTCGAACTGCTGCCGATATTGCAAGGTTTGCGAAAGACCGATGCGGAAATAGTAGACGTGATACATGCAGACGGCGGTTTCTTTGGAATGCGAAATCCTGTGGGAACTGTCGATTTTTACCCCAACAGTGGGCAGCGACACCAACCTGGATGCACCAAATCAATGATATTGTCGCAGCCAAATTATACTCTCGAAGATATTAGTAAGCGGGGCCATCGCATTACTCTTAGCACGTTACCATTGTTTTAGTCTTCTGCAGCCACAGAAAAAGTTACCACTACTTTATTGAGTCAATCAACAATCGTGTCTTTAAGGCAAAGGAATGTCAAAGTTGGGAAGAGTTCGTGCGAGGAAATTGTAATGGTGCCACTGCTGTAATGGGCGATGGGTATGAGAAGGAACCGCACTCTATCGGAAGATTTTATCTTAGTACAGAAAACAACTAGGAAACGCCAGTTTTTTGTTTGTGTATAGTAACTTGAGTAGGTTAGGGAAAGAGTAATACATGATATCTAAGTGTATCTATACATTTTCCTGTAGAATCCATAACTTCAAACAGTTCCAATATTGGGCTACTAGTTTAAAAGTTACAGCTTTTTGAACTTTCTTTCGAAATTGGTTTCTAGTCTATAACTTTTGATTGAGAAGTCTGATCGAAAAAGTACGATTCGTTTTGGATTCTATGCACCAAAATTAATAAGAAAAAGTGTTTTCCCGAGAAATTTTGGAGTGGTCGATTTTTGGAAAAAAAGGAAGGTTGTACACAGCCTTTTTTGGAGCCCCGAAAAAAAAAATTGTCTCAGATCGACCGGAAAAAAACATTTTCTTATAGAATGTGGCCTGTAGAATCCATAATTTCAAACAGTTACAAGATTGGGCTACTAGTTCAAAAGTTACAGCCTTTTGAATTTTTTTCGAAATTGGTTTCTAGTCTATAACTTTTGATTGAGAAGTCTGATCGAAAAAGTATGAATTGTTTTGGATTCTATGATGTCCGTTAGTCCGTTCACCCTTTCCAAATCTGAAATATTTCATGCAAAATGCGTCAGTTTAATGCAACAAGAAAGAGATTTACACAACTCTTCGAGATTGTGCTTGATCATTTTCAGCTGTGTTTACGTAAAATCGAAAATCTAAATTGAAACACTTAAAATGGCTCTGACATTATATGCTACCGTTGCTACTCATATCTATGTACTTATGTTAATTTCAAGGATGTAAGTTGATAAATGCAAACTATGTGAATCGGAGAAAATCTCGTTCTGTTACGAAACAGAAGAATGATGCCAATTAATAAAAGACAATACGTCGTTGTCCAAGGCTGCTCTACCAACCCAACCTGCTATATGTTTACAAATCTCCATGCCCGAACCAGGGGCCCTTGGTACTGCAGCCGGACTTCAACTCAACTGCACCACACGAACCGGCATACACAGTGCTATTTATTTAGAAGTAGACATAGGGATTCCGGATTTCCTATGTCTAGTTTTAAACGACCAAAATCCTTCTGAAAGACGCCTAATTGTATGCAACCGAAATAACATGCGCACGCATTTTGAATTGTCATTCTCGATTTTAATAAAAACGTCAATAAATATGTTATGATGAATGATGAATTCGGCCGATATTTCCCTCAATTATCTTATGGGATTCCATAAGCTCGAAACTATCAACAAATTTAAATTTTCAGGTACAGGGGCAGAAAATCAAACAGTGTCTCCCATGTCCCCGTGCTGCAGTTCCAGTATGGGAGCTGAACCACAACCGCCAACTCTAAACAGTAAACATAACCTACCTTTTTATTTATACGTTTACACTCTTTTCCCGCGTAGAAAATGTAATTAAGTGTTTTTGAACTATTGCCGCAATGAGTATTGTACAGAGTCTAATTGATCAACAAATCGGTCTTTGTAAGTAGTAAATTTACGTAATTCATTGTTTATCCATAATTCAATGGCCTATAGTGAAATGCTTTTAGCGAGATTGACCAATTACGATTTGGCTATTAAACGACTGTGGTGTGCGAAAGATGAAGATTTTTCTCGAATTTTGCCGTACGACAATTCGGAATTCGAAGCCGCTGCCGACCCACCGATTTTTGCTTGTAAATTTGCCCACCTTAAAGGTAAGGTCGCTTCGGGTGGTTTAACCAGTGTTGCAACGAATGTTTCAGGCTACCGGCAGATTTACGCCCTTGCCAATGAAGAAGGGCGCATCGCAATCTGTAATAAAGATACCAAATCGCGCTTGGGCTGCAGCGTGCATAATAATGCGATTTTTGATATCGCGTGGATGCCTAACGCGATGAAACTGGTAACGGCATCCGGTGATCATATGGCTTCGCTTCTTGATGTAAGCCAAGGTGGCGTGACATGCGTGCGCATGTTTCAGGGTCATAAACGGTCTTTAAAAACGGTGGCTTGCTGTAGGGACGCCGATTCGATTTTTGCGACCGGCAGTAGAGATGGACGGTTGATAATTTGGGACACACGAATGGGGACGAACGAATTTTTCGGTGTTACCGATATTTTGATACCGCTAACACATGTGCAACGCGTATCCGGTAAAGTACGTGAGGTCTCGGCCTCCAGCTCCGTTACCGGTGTTATTTTTAAAGACTGCAATACTCTAATTTCTTGTGGTGCAGGCGACGGAGTGATCAAAGTTTGGGATATCAGAAAAACGTACTACTCTTTAGATAAAATCCCTACTCCAAAGTATTCACTACCGTATAGTGGGGATACGTTACGGTATGGCTATAGTAATTTATTAATGAATTCTAATGGCACAAAACTGTACGCGAGCTGCCTAGACAATGCTATTTATGTATACAATTTAGCCACCTATAATCCGAAGCCTGTAATGAAATATGTGGGCCACAAGAACAGTACATATTATGTGAAAGCTTGTTTGAGTCCTGACGATAACTACATTCTATCGGGAAGCAGTGATCACGACGGATATATCTGGAATGTCAAGAATTCAAATCCTTTGGTAAAATTAAGCGGACACGATGCGGAAGTCACGTGTGTTGCGTGGTGTGAAGACAACAGCAATGTTGTTATTACATGTTCGGACGATTTAAGACATAAGGTTTGGAGGGTTTGTGCGGATGTGACCGAGATATCTGCGTCTGAGAATAGCAATCGTGCTGTAGAAGTAATTGCCACCACCACATCGCCAGCTCGAAAATGTAAATCAAGTCCGTTGTCCCTTAATGTTGCCAAACGAAAGCACGAGGTTCTGGACGATTTTCCAACACTGGAATGTGGTATGTACAATTCCAGGATCCTTTCATTGTGTAGTTGTAGACTATTTCATCCAATTTCCTTCGTTCATTTCTATCCTAGTTCTCCTTCCCGCCCTGGACCATTTCAAAGTCGCTCGCCATCTGGTAGTGACTTTGGAAAGTCAAGGTAAAGGTCACCTGTTAAGTGACTGTGGCCTTGGAAACTAGGCAAAGGTGGGAATTAGTTTTAAAGGTCGACGGTCCCATTTTTGCGGTGTCACATTTTGACATTTTACTACCATGGTCACTAAAGGTCAATGACCCCATTTTTGTAATGTCATTTATTTTCAAGGTCAATTTTTAAGTGTCATTTCATTTTCACTTATAATTGCACAAGAGGTTTGTATTTTACCGAGTAAATTTGGGTTGTTAAGGTAATGAAAATCTGTTGCCTAGCAATTAGACGAGAAAAACTGTCAACTAATAAAAATGCGACACCGAAGGTGGAGCATTTTTAGGTTGACAGTTTTTCGAGTTCAATTGCTAAAAGGAAACAGATTTGAATTGCAACAACCCAAATTTACTCGGTTTCAATACAAACCTCGAGTGTAATTCGGCAGGACAATTTAACGAACAAGAAATTCACCAAACTAATCAATTATTGGCAGACGTCAAACTAGTCATATGGGAAAGGATAATGTGATAATTGGTTCGAAAATGAAGAAGTGAAAAAACCACTAGTGCATTTGCCGCTGGAAAAGTTGCAGGTAACTTTTGCCGCTGTCAAAGTGACAATTGCACTGCGGCTTATGCGATTTTTTATACATGAGTTGAATTGTCAAGGTAATTAAAATTCCATGACCTCTAATTTTTTGCGGTTTAGTATTTTATTTTCAAGATCGTCAGAGGTCAATTGCACTATTTTCTGGGTTTCATGTTTCATTTTCAAGATTGTTACTTTTCATTCTCAAGGTCAACACAAAGATGGGGTCATTGACCTCTGTTGGCTTTGAAAGCAGAATATGACACCGCAAAGAAGTGGAGGTCATTGAGTTTGGATACATTTTAAGGAATTATTGCTACATAATATCATTGTATTTATAAACGATATAAATACAATGATAATATCCTAGTATTACTGGACCATAATAGTAAACTGTGAATGTTTTTAAAAATGCAGATGGTCCAATATCTTTTTTGTTTCTGTATTTAGTATTTTGGCATTTGAAGTTGTTGTTTTTAGCATATTTTTCAAGAAAGGGCTTCCCATTTCAGTACTAATATCGTCTTATTTCCATCAGTTTCGCTACTATTTCCATCCATTCGAACCTATTTCCATTGATTCCCAACAGGCATATCGATCTTTGTCATCTTTACCATTTCAGATGCATCCAAACGAATGGAGAAATGTATGAAAACGGACACGCCAAATAAGAGAAAGCTTCTAACTGCAATTGACCTGAACGTTTACGAAACGAAACCCTTGAAACGTTTTAAATTTGACT